AGGGACCTACGCAAGGCATAATGCCATGGACTCCACTTTCTGAAGCAGCCACTGACCTGATCTATGTACTTTGGAGCTCAGTTGTAATTCCAGGAGATCTCCAGATCCCACCTGTAGGTTGGCAACCCTAAAAATTCATATTCAGCATACTAGTTCTGCAGGAAGGCAAGCTGAGTTCCATAGGAACCTTTAGGAACTGATTCCAATCCAGTGTGGGAATAATTGTTGGACATAAGATATTGGTTCAGGCAAGATTTTGTATCGATGGGACAGAAAATAATGTTTTCATTGGTTTTGTCAAAAGCGTTCTGACAACAAACAAGGTAAACAGAATAAGAAGCAAAAGGTGGGTGTGGCTGGATGAGCACACTTCTGGTCACACGGGTGTGTGGCCTAATATGCTAATGAGTTCCTGCTGGGCTTTTTCTGCAAAAATAGTCCTGTGTGTGTGTATATAAGAGATGTATGATAGAGTGTTCAGCTCCCAATGGACAGAGCCCAAGGCTGCAGCACCTTCCTGCACCTTTTTGTGGGGAGGCCGCAGGCACACCTCAGTCATTTGGGAGAGGGAAATGTTCTGTCTCAACCCAGTCCCTCTGTCCCTTGCTCCGCTCCTCTCCTCTGACTGACAGGTAGAAGTACAGCTTGTTCTTCTCAGCTACCTGCTTCCTGCCTTTTGAAGGATTTCCTGTGGGCGGGGCAGCCCTGGGCTCGTTTAAAGGTTACAGAGTACAGATTCTCTTGTCTCATCTCTGTGGTATCCTTGTCTTGTTTCATCTTATATGTTACAATTTTCAATGTGTGTGTTTGTGTTTCCTTACCTGACTGTGAATCAGTCCCATGCCATCTGTGAGGTCCCTACTGGGAACTCATTTCCCAAATTTACTGGGTCCCAGTGCAGACTGAGACTGTGGTGTGTGGGAAGAGGGTATTGAGCTTTCCTCTCTGTGCTGTTTTTCTAACCCGAAATAGTTGCCCCACTGGAGGCTGTCCATCAGTACATGTGCAGCCATCCCGCTGCCACTAATACCCCAGGGACATTTTGGAAAGGGATAACAGCACAGGGGAAGAATGACACCCCTTCTGCCAAGCGCTGTAGTCCCAAATGAGTTGCTTAAGAAATCATTTCCCAGTGGGGAGCCTGCAGCTGATACGTGGCAGAACGATTCAAAGTCAGGCTGAGGAATCCAAACATGACACATTGAAAATATTAATGCGGAGTTTGGCCCTGGAGAGCCAGACTGTAATGTTTTCAGTCTTTCAAATATTCCTGGGGGAAAAGATTTGCACAAGAGATGGCCAAAGCAGATAGCATGATACAAGAGTCAACATGCTACCCATTTTAAAAAAGTTTTATTACTTTATAGTTACATATGAGAGAATCATAGAATCGTAGAGTTGGAAGGGACCTCCAGGGTCATCTAGTTTTCTTTGTTATGAGTGATTAATAGTGTGCAACTTCATAGCTGCAAAATAAATCTTGTGGAATAACTATGGAGAGTCAACATGCTACCCATTTTTAAAACGTTTTATTACTTTATACTTACATATGAGAGAATCATAGAATCATAGAGTTGGAAGGGACCTCCAGGGTCATCTAGTTTTCTTTGTTATGAGTGATTAATAGTGTGCAACTTCATAGCTGCAAAATAAATCTTGTGGAATAACTATGTAATATTCAGATGGAAAACACTCTATTCAGGCTCTCATCTATATATGCAGATTGTCTCCCTTGATCATTACTCTCAAAATTCAAACAGCAGGTACTCTTACTGAAGCAAATGTCCTCTTGACAAATGTATAACTACATTTTAAAATATCTACAGGAACTGTTGGCGACTGGAAAAGCATGCTCTCAGAATCCCAGAACAAAGAAATGGACAGAAAGTTTGAAGAATGTTTATCCAGAACTAAACTAGGAGCCAAGATAAAATATGATCTTTACTGTAAGGTCTGAGGAAACAGGCAGCCCTTTTGAAACAGTCCATACAATTTGCTGTGTTTCTGTATGCACATAATGCACCATACATGTCATTTACTTTTGTAAATAGTATCATTTTAGCTCAACAAACAATTACGGCAATTTCTATGTGATGTCTTTAATAGAAATCCCCACTCTGCTATGGGAGTGCACTGAATGACCTAGGCTGAGTGGCTCACAGGGTTGCTGTTGTAAGGATAAAGGAGGAGGACGGGGGTATGAAATTGTAATCTACTTTGGGTCCCCATTGGAGACAAAAGCAGGGTATAAATATCTAAAAGAATAATACAAGAATAAGTCCCCCTGAAATTTTTAAGTACCCCGAGCACAACCAAGAACAATAATGTTCTGATAGTATTCTGCTAGGAACTGCATCTAAAACTTTAGTGATTCAATTCATTATGATATGTTACTGGTTATAGAAGTGTGAAGCCCCCTGGGTCAGATATTCCTTTTCCACTGAGGTATTCCATCCTTTCCAGTGTCCCCAATAAAAGGCAGACACCAGAGGAACATTTAATTTGTCTGGCATAACAAACTCTTGGGTTCACCTGCCTGATTACAGCATGGAGGTCCACCTTACCCTTACTGCCTCCACCTGTCTCTGTCAAGGATCTGGTCGGGATTGCCAGGTCTCCAGCTTCAGCGGGACATCCCCCACCCCACTCAGCCCTTCCTGCACTGCTCACCTGGGGGAAATGTGGGGGTGCTCATCATCATTCCAACACCTTTATGTCACTTCTGGCACAATTCAGGTAAACCATAAAGTTTTGGACAAATGCCAGAGCATCACCAGCAGTTAGGGATGCCAGTCCCCAGGTGCAAGTGGGGTTGCCCCCCATATTTAGGGCTCACCCCCAATGCCCACCAGCTGGCTGGCAGGGGGGAGCCCCACCCCCAACAGTCATCTGCAGCCTCGCTTGAAAAGAGTGGGTGCTGCATGCGCCTGCCTGCAAATGGCAAACTCACTGCTTGCAGGGCAGGCGCACATGGTACCCGCTCTTTCCAAGTGGGGCAGCTGGCTTCTGCCTTGCAAGAGGCGATTTTGCCTCTTGCGTGGCAGGAGCGCTTGGCCCTTGATTCCCCTCCACACCATTTAAAGGGAAGGTTCCCTTTAAATGGTAGAAAAAAGCAGGGATGTGATGATGTGTTGCAGAGTAATGTCATCATGCTGGGAATGGCCACACCCAGACCTGGCAACCCTACCAGCAATGTGAAGAGCTAGTGTGGTGTAGTGGTTAAGAGCCATGTACTCTAATCTGGAAAATTGGGTTTGATTCCCCACTCCTCCACATGAAGCCTGCTGGGTGACATCACTGCATTGCTGGTAATGTCATAACATGACTGGCAAGCCCCATCCCCATACATTTAGTCTTTCAAGTTACCAGTCTTGGGGTGGCAACCCCAGCTTTAGTCCTGCTCCCAGAATTCCTTGATTCCTGCCCCTAGCCATTGGATCCTTGCTACAGGGATAGACAGTAAGATAGATAGGTCCCAAGAGAGAAAACTGCTTGTCTTCTGCCAGGAAGGCTACCTCCCTGGTTCATGGTCCTCTGAGACCCTTCTGGCCAGCAGGTTCTCCCCCCCTCCCCTCCTGCTTTAAACTATTATTCCATTTCCCCCTGGCACACTCACTCTTTGACACTCTTGACCCACACATTAGGGCTTTACTCCCAAGGAAGTCTCCTGAGGCAGCCTTTACCCCTGAGGAGACTTATATCGGAGGTCTTTGGCCCTGCCTGCCCTTTAGGTGACCTTGGGGCCCAGTCCTGCCTTCCTCTCCTCCTGTTAGCATGACCTATGACAAGGAGTAAGGCAGATGAGATACGTTCATTCTTGTTTTTATAATATATTCTTACTGCTTTAGGGCGAGTCTATATTACAGCTTCCCCAAGGAGCCCTGGGAAGAGAATAATTGTGTCAGTTATCTGAAATGCAGTCTTTTGTTTACCCTCTCTGAACTACAGTTTCCAGGATTCTTTGGTTGAAGTCATGGCCGTGTAAATTGGTAAAAACCACATCTAACTTTGTAAGGTAGATATACACTTACTGTCTTTGAATCCTAGTACATCAGGTGTATATAATTATTGTTCACAGGATAGTGAAAAACAACATCATGCTGCCTCTAATTAACATTTCAGATGTCACAGAAAGGAGGAGCCTAGGAGAAGCCATGTTTCCTCTCAGTTTTTTCCTATGGGTGAGGGTGCTTTCCCATGGTGGTGGTGTTGCTGATGTGATTCTGTGTTCAATCTCCCTTGAAAGGGGATTCTAGACAGCAGAAGGTAATGCATTTTCTCTCCATTGTTAGCCATGGTTTCCCTTTCACACCTGATTCCCCCCTCCACCATCTTCTCATGCTGTGGTTGTCAGGTTTCTACTCCCAACCCAGTTTTAATTTTATTTTCAGGAGCATGGGTAATACAGTGTAAGAATGATGCAATACCTTGAAAAACATGTATTTCCACAGGCACCTTCCTCTCCCCATCTTCTCTTCTCTTAAACCCCCCCCCACCTTCAGAAGCCTTTTGACTCCAAGCCCATACCTCCGGATAATCTGGGCGAGGGGGGCGCATATAGATATTAAATAACATTTATAACATTTCCACCAATGTCCATACTCTCCACCATCATGGGGGGAGGGAATGGTAGAAAAAAGTCTAATGAGGGGAAGACTTTTTTTTACTACTTCTGTGGATGTGCTTCTCTAAGTTCATGAGCAAATCCCCAGTAGCAGAGAGCAACAGAATCCCAAATGGGGAAAAAACTTTTAAAAATTGCTATAGAGGACTGATCTCACTTCTGGCTTTTCTTTGGAAGTGCCTTCAATCCTCTCTAGGATTACCTAAAAATGGTATGGTTTTACTATAGAGTTTTCAGTGAATCCTAGAGAGGTTTGACAGCAACCCTATTAAAAGTAGTCCTACATAGGATTTTCTCCATAAATTCTCTTGAGGGGTTAGTATAAGACACAACACAGAGACTGCAACACCAGCCTTAGCCTCTATGCCTCTTTGTTTGCTGGCCAGGGTAAATGGTTGGCTGCTGTATGAAACAGGTTGCTGGACTAGATGGACTACTGCTCTAATCCAGCAGGGTTCCTCTTATAATGAGTTAATGAGGACCAAGAGATTTTTCTGTTGTCCAAGCCACTGATTACCAAATGGTGTGCCAGGGCACAGTAATGTGTGATGAGAAGTTCTGGATTGTACCCTGAAAATTTAAGCCACCATGTAGATTCATCAGTTAGTTTCCCTTGGTATGAGGAAGCCCCTTGCAGCATTGGTCCTCACTCCTTCATCATTCAGATGATATTTCTTTTCTTTTTTTACTGTTTATTTATAATTTTAAGTGTACATCATATCATCGATTTACCGTACATTTTTCATTCTTGTGAGTCATACATATTCTCCTTATCCAACCATACATAGAACATTTTCCATCGTTTTTCAAATGTCTCTTTGCTATTACCTTGTATTGTTAAGCTTAATTTGTCCATTTCTCCTACTGACAACATTTTATCGATTACTTCTTTCTTAGAGGGCAGTTCTTCTTCTTTCCATTTTTTGGCTAACAATATTCTGGCTGTTGTAAAAAGGTATATAATTACATATTTGTTTGTTTTGCTATATGTTTCTGGAAGCATATTCAATAAAGCTATTTCTGGTACAAATGGTATTTGCTCTTCTATAATTTCATTTATCATTCGATATATTTTTTTCCAGTATTCAGATGATATTTCTGAATGTCTGTCTTTAAAGGGGGAGGCTCCAAGCCTGTTTCTACCCCTTCCTTTCAGGGGACAGGGCAGCAAGCATGCCAAGAAAAAAACCACTCGGAAGGCATTTAATTGCCTTCAGAAAATATTTAAATGCCTTTTGAGTTCCCTTCTACAGGGCAAGAAAACTTAAAAGGGTACCTTCAATACCGCTCCAACAACCCCCCCTTTCTGCTAGCCCAGTACCACCTGGGTCATCGTGAAAACTAAGGTTTCTGGCATGGTTATTTGTGGGGCAGGGCTTTTAATTAGAGGGGCAGAGCCCCAAAATGCCCCACTGTAGCTACAGGCCTGGCACAGACTACATTGCACTTGACAGGTATGGGAGAATCCTAGATGCACTTCCAGGGCTCCAAAAACACAGTCCCATCCCTGAGGCCTGAAAGTACTGAGCCAAAGGCAAGGTCCCAGACGTTAATACTAAGGAGTAGAGTAGCATGCCTTTCCTGGCAACTGGCAGGAGGGTTGGGGGGCAGGGACATGGGAGGGCTGTCATCTGTACCAATGCATCACTTCTGAAGAAAACCCGGAAGGGATGTAGGGTATCTCTAGGAATCATCAGAAACTCTGTGGTAAAACTCGGAACTTCTAAACGTAGTGACGTAGTGGCACAGACAGTGTTGCATTTTTTTTAACAAAAATACTCCCATTGCTTGGAGTGGTGGCAGGCAACTAAAACTACCAGCGAGTCACCTCCCACCATGGGGGGGGGGCTAACAGCCTACTAAGGAGGGTGGCTATAGAGTGACATTGTACTAAATTATTCACAGTTATTTGGAAAAATTATTAGGGCCTGTGGTCTATACTACTGTGTACAGCTTGCTGAAAAGAGGATCCTAACTATGGGATTTTGCATCTTTTTTCATATATCACATTAATACTTATGCTGTGTTTTAGTTCTGTTTTTAAATTCTACAACCCTAATCCTGTTGCATTGTTTATTGAATGTCCCACTCTGTCGATTGTATTGATTTATTCTGTGTAAGCTGCCTTGAGTCCAAGTGAGAAAGGCAGACTATAAATAACATAAGTAATAAATAAATAAAATACCAGGAGGCAGAGGAAACAGAGCAAAGCTACCTGCATATGTGAGGAGAACCGACTGTTAGCGGGAATCATGCATTCATTCCTATTTGATTTGCTACAAGTTTGTCCTCAGGTGTTTGAACAGAAGTGACCTCTTGTCTGGCAGCCTCTAAGACAAACAGGCAGTCTTTCATCAGAACATACCAATACAATCACTTTCCCCAAAGACGTACAATCCTCCCCATATTTTCAACAAGCAGCAGCAGGAAGAAACGAGTAACAGGAAGGG